TCAGGAAATCTATAGTTTATATAGAGGTTCTGATAGGGTTGCAAACCTCTGGTGGATCCAGTCTCATTTGAGGAACGAGAACTTTGTTAGGCTGCACCCTGGGTTAGCCTCTTCTCTCTCTCTTCCTCTCTCTCTCTCTCTCCAGGCATAGCAGGAAGGAAAGCCAGGAACACTGTCATTTTCTTGTAGATGTTTGGGGCATTTCATCTCTTGAAAAACCCTGATATTCTCCCCCCAAATGGGAGTTGTCTTCTCCTGCTTTCATACTTCAGTGGCATCCATATAAAGCCTAGAGTGTCTGTTGATTCAATAGAAGTTGTGCTCTAATCTAAATTGTTTTTTGGAGATATGAAGTGGTAGTTACTAACAGCTAAATTTAGTTGGGAGGAGGGGTGGTAAACCAAGGGAGTGTTGGAGGCCTGAAAACTCTAGCCCTGATTATGAAGAATTGACTTCTAAAATGAAAAATCAGTGATTATCAATCATATTCTAATGGATGTAGCCTCTTCATTTGTTAGCATTTCAGTTAAAACAAAATATTGCAACATCTGAACTGTAAAATGTCACCATCCTGGAGGCAAATAATGAGGACTTAAATTCAAATCATTGTAAAACAATTTTGTGATTTGACAGCACATACTATACCATTATTTGACAATTTACTATAATACATCAAATATTTCCTGTATAAGATAGCTGTAAGGGTGAGGTCAGAAACTGGAGGTTTGTAGGGTATGAATGAGTGCTAGGGAAATTGTTAGTAGTAGCACACTTTCACAGTAAGTTTGGCTACCCAGACAAATTTGTGGAAGGCAAATAAGAACATTAACACAAGAGTAAACTTGCTTGAGCATAAAAAAAGATGATAGCTAAGCTTTTGGTCCAATAAATTGGTCTGTTGTAGTGTTTTGAAATAAAATTTTACTATATTACAGTAAGATATGTTGATATCACCCCATTTTTACTGGAATGTTTTTGTTCTTGCCAAGTCTGTAGCTCACGTGTTTGACTTATTTTGTAGCTAGTAATATAAAAGCAAATTATTTTATAAATGGAAATGTTCTTAAACAATACAATACTATTATCCATAGAATAAAGTCAGTCAGCATTATAATCAGATAAGTTCTTAGGACAGACTAATCTTTTATAACTGTAACTTATGGCAATCAGCAGATTCCTATACGGCAGAACTATTTCTGGAGAATTTTTAAACAATATCTTGATCAATTAAATCAGTAATTAATAAATTAGCTATTAAATAGAAAGCAGTAATACATTTCCTGATGATAGGAACATTATTTAAATGTTAAGAAGCATGAACAGATTTCCTGTTATCTCATGCACACCCCGTGGAAACAGCATTTCTTTCTGTCACTACCAGAATTTTAATCTCATTATTGAGCGAGTCACTTTATCTGCAGGACTTCTTTGCTAAATCAACTCGACAGTATCGTTAGCAGTGAAATTTTGCCCCTAGGATGACCACTACAGATTTCAGTGTTTCAGAGAAAGCTATGGCTGCCAGTCAATTAAATTAACCGCACACTAAAATAAATAACATTTGCATGTTTATTTGCATATGAATAAAACAAAGTCTCTGAAAAATTAGTGTGCAGCATCTCTTACAGAATATATTCCTGCTAAGATTATGCCTTCTACATGTAGCAAGATGGGCAACATTTTCATTATTTTTGCACTTTTTTAATGTTTTGTTTCCTGCCCAACTGTTTTTCTTGCAATTCTTTCATTGAGATCCATTTTCAATGCAGGTTAATACATTTGTTTTTGCAGTACAGTGGCAAGAATGGAATTCCTGTGAATATACAAGAATCCGGGTGTTAATTTGCTTTTTTGTAATTTGTCTAGTCCTTGATTAACTCCCACTCATTCAGCAACTGTTCAAAGTTACTATTGCATTGAACAAGGAGACTTCTCAAAGTTGCTGCTGTTGCAGCATCCCTGAAATAATGTGATTCCAATTTGGGCACTTGGCAACTGTTGCTTATTTTTGATAGTCCTGAAGTCACATGATCATCATTTGTAACCTTCACTGCCAGCTTCTGAGAAACTAAGTCAATGAGGAAACAGACAGGAAGTTGCAAGTTGTAGTCACATTATGTGATTAATAATTGCAAACCAGAGTTGCCATGACTGATAGCATAAATCGATGAGGTCACATGATTTTTTGGTTTTATAATCAAGGTGCTTTGCAATATACTTCCCAGTTTCAATCACATTAACTAAGGACTACCTGTATAAGGTATTGCTTTTCGTTTCTAAAACAAATAAAAGCAAATTCTTACTATGGTAAGATAGTCAGTAAAAGAAAAGTAGAAATATGTGCAGCAGCATTAAAGGTTTAAATTTAATTTAAAATTGATAAGTATAGCAATAATACTAAAAAGGTTGGGGAAAAACACAGGAAAAAGTTTGGAAATTATGTGATAGACAAAAAAACTTCAACAATGAAAGTAATGAAGAATTCAATCAAAAAATGATAATGAACACTTAACCGAAACCAGTATATTTTATCCACATTTTTCATCTTGAGACAAGACTTTGACTTGTGATGCAATGTTTGACCTAGTTTTTGGTCATCTTAATGTTCTCCATCCCTTGCCAGGAAAAAGTTCTGGTGAATTTGGAAGACAACTAAATTGTTTTTGTGCCATTTTCATTTCACCTAATAAAAGCATTTCCCATTTATGGAGGCTGCTTTATTGTAGTCTTCCACAGTACTATTATTATCTACCGGTAACTGGTTTTTGGGGAAGAATATTACTGACAAAAATTTCTAGTCCATTCAACCATTATTGGTACAATGTCTGTTTGGTAGAGGTATCAGAAGATGATTGTTTTAGGGAAAAATATATCTGCAATAGCACACAGTAAGATTCATTTTGATTTTTAGAGCATTAAAAAATATGAAATATAGGAATCAGGAAAATGCTTTTTAAAAAACATTTTAATGTCCTTTCCAAAGAGCATGAAAAGTAGTAGAAATGTGTATCTTTTGAAATATTTGTTAAAAATCCAAATTTAATATATCAAAATGGGCAGAAATTCTGAGGTAGTGTACAGTATTACAATAGTATATATTTCAACAGTGAACAATGAAGTCCCTCTGATCGATAATTTTGCTTCAAATCAAAGCAGTGTTCTTACTTAAGTGAACTTACTACTGAACTCACAACAGTTAATATTCCACTATGATAAAGTTGGAATTTCATTCAAATTCAAATGTATTTAAATAAAAATCTAAAAGGAAAATTAAAATATAATTAGGAGATTCCTCAGTTTATAAATTTGTTTTTATCTCACATAAGCAAAAATAAAATTCTATGGTTTTGTTGAGCAGTTATTCTTCTCTATGCTATTCTACCAATTTAAACCCATTTTTCCCCTTGTCTGAAACGGGAACAAAACAAATGAAAAATAATTCCTAATGAAAAAAAAGTGGGGGGGGGAGTGGAAGAGTCCTTACCGCTCATGGAAATATTTGGCAATCAACTATTGCACAAATCAAGAAGAGCCAGCCGTGTGGCCTTTTGTTAAGACCATGGAGGTAGGCCGAATGGAGAAGGTTTTTTTTTAATCACGCCTGCTCAAACAGTCACTTTGTGCTAATGTGTTTTCTTGTGGATTTGCCAGGTGACCTCTGATTCGCAGGCACCCAGCCAATTCCACCACAGTAACTGTTCCTTAAACAAGCATAACAAGTGAAGTCAGTTTTTGCTACTGCTTTCCAGATGGAACACTGATCTTCCCCGGGGTGGGGTGGGGGTTGTTCAGCTTGCGGTGAATATATCCTAAATTTAAATAAAGTACTTCAGTGCAAGACTAAAATACTGTTCACAGAACACCAGAACTAAAATGATTGCTTTTGGTGAGGTTTTGCAAGGTCCTTTTTGTCTCTGTGTGTGCGTCACTCTTTATACTATGGAGTAGTAATTAGCTTTTAGTAAATGTATAATGTAGGATAGTTTTGTAAGTAAGGATTTTAAGGTCTGAAGTTAATCCAGTTCACGATATACAATTAGTCCTGAGATTTACATGCAAAGGAGTAATCATCTGGGCTTGGATTTTTCTCCCAGAGAAACGGAATGCAGCCAGAGCTGTTCCAACAACCTTGTATTCATTGCCAGTAAATATATGTAGGCATGAAGAATCAATTCTAGGACTGAACTGGTGTAATGAAGTGATAGGGGCAACAGATCTGTAGCTTTACACAAAAGATAGGCTACTAAGAAGTAAAAAAAATAAGATACATATTTCATGTAGTGCCATGTTTTGTGGCTTTTTGTCATTGAATAATCAGGAAATTGATTGTACTACCAACAATAATTTGTCATTGTTTGCATTTTTAAAGTATATTGGGTTGATTAAAAGCAATCATAGAAGCTAAGTTCAATATTACAGTGGTAATGTCCTAATACAGTAACTCACCATTCAGTGTTTTGCATTCATCTCTATTGCTCATTTGTTGTAAATAAGAAGGCGCCAACATGGTCAAATGCTTTGTCTACTATCTAATGCCACTTTTTTTATCTTCTGAGATATCAGGAATCAGCTATCTAGGAGGATAAGTTGCCTAACTACAACCTCTAGTGAAAAAGAACTGCCCTGACCAAAGATGTGGCATAAAAAACTTATTTGTTTCCAGTTGAGCCATGCTCTAAATCACACATAGTTCAATATTCAGAGTGTCTTGGATTTCTGCTCTTGCTTTTAGTTCCTAGTCCTAATTTATTCCTGGGCAGTGCCTCCTGGCTTGCCACTGACCATAACTTACTTCCAGCACTGTGAAATCAGTGGTAGGACGTGGCCCCAGATATTTATTCCCACTGCCATTTCAACTAAGCTTCCTGGTGAAGAAAGAGTGAAGAATTATTTTTCTGATTCTGGTATCATTGTATTTAATAGATAATAAAAAATTAGTACTAAGGAATAGTTGCTGCAAAGTCACATGTCTTTCATTTTTCTTTTCTATTTAAAAGCAGAAAGGGAACTGAAGGTGGTTGGAAGAGCAACGTGAAAGCAAAGGAGCAGTGGGTGGAAGCAAAACACATTCAAGGTGAGCTGAACAAGATTAGCTACATTCTATTAACACCTTCAAGACCTTTTCTTTGGAATAATAAGCCAAATGGAATAGGTACAAATTATTATAATGAACAGAAGAAATTATCTTAGAAATAAGAAGAGAATGCTCTGTTCTCAGCATGCAGAATGGTCCTAATTTTTTTAAAAAATAATTGATGAAGCTTGTTTTCCTATCATATTACAGCATTTATTTTTTAGGTAGTTGAAATATTACAGTATGTTCTAACGTTTCACAGATTTAAGTAATAGAGTGCATACAATTTTGTTGATTTTTATTTGTGTCGTAAAATGCATATGTTGGATCAGAATGCACCGCATTGCCTAAAGCTACACTTATTTCCCCAAACTGCCATTGACAATCTCCAGAGTCCCTATAGGATATCATTTTAATATGTCAGAAAGGATAAATACAAGGGAATTATCATCTTACATTTTATTTAATACTTTAAACCATAATTAAATCAAAGTTTAAATCAAATTTAGCTTTTGTTCTTCCCCTTAAACCACTTTTTAAAGTACAGCTGCTGCACAATTCATAGGTTCAGCAGGGTGCTCACCTCAAATGTAAGCTTGAGTTTATGATTAAGTTTATGATTTGTACATTCATTACTATTAATTTCAGTTACGGCTATTCTCTTCAGACATCCAAAAGTTATTTCAAAAAAACAGCTTCCAGTGTATGATTTGTATATTTATTCCTTTTTAGTGAATTTCAGCATTTGAAGATAAGCACTCTAGATAACGACAAAGAAGCTAGATTGCATTAATTAATATTGGTATGGATAAATTTTTGATCTATATTAAGTTTCTATATGCAGTATAATTGGGTATGTCTAGTTTAATGAAAAGGAGGACTAGGGGTGACATGAAAGCAGTGTTCCAATATCTCAGGGGTTGCCACAAAGAAGAGGGAGTCAAGCTATTCTCCAAAACACTTGAAGATAGAACGAGAAGTGATGGGTGGAAACTAATCAAGGAGAGAAGCAACCTAGAACTGAGGAGAAATTTCCTCACAGTTAGAACAATTAATGAGAGGAACAACTTGCCTCCAGAAGTTGTGAATGCTCCAACACTGGAAGTTTTTAAGAAGATGTTAGACAACCCATTTGTTTGAAATGATATTGGGTTTTCTGTCTGAGCAGGGGGTTCTTCCAAGGTCCCTTCCAACTCTGTTATTCCATTCTGTTCTATTCACTTTGAAAAACAACTTTTGATCTGAGAAATAATTCAGAATACATGTTTTCATAGTGTATGGATTTCTTGCTTATTTGGACAACAGTTTGCTTTTATCACACAGTATTTTGCTTTTAAAGAAAAGAATTATAGTTTTAAAGAAACTATAATTCTCACATTTCTAAGTATGCCTCTTCTTGTCAAGCAATGCTTGTTTATGGTTCCTATCTATGCCTTATGTTTGAGCAAATTATTCTTTCAATCTTATTTTCCCATCTCCTTAGGAATTAGAAATTCCATGCAGCAAATATAATGTAGCATGAAATTAGTAATAATTATGAGATCAAAAAATATTTATGAATTTCTTTTCTTTTTCTGTTTTAATGCCCTGTTGGAAAAAAAAGAAGGTAGTGTCAAAATGGAATGGAATGTGCACTTATTCATGTCTAGACTTGCCAGATATTGACAATTTTGGATGCTTCCTCCCACTGGACCTACAGTAAAAGACTTCTTTTAAAAGTGTGGTGCCCCTAAGAATAGAAACCAGAACAAGCCTGAATTTCACTTCCAGAATTATAAGACTGGAATTCTTTCTGCATTCTGAGAAATACAGATGGAAAAAGTAATATGAATATATATTGAGAACAGAGTCAGTTGCAAGGCATAACAAGACCAGCGATTAAATAGCTTCAAACCAGTGAAGCAAAAATGAAAAATAATCCCTCCTATTCCTGTATTGCCACTGCTTCCCCCCTCCCCCCGAAATATTAGCAAGCCAGAAATAAAATGGGGATATTCCTTGATGGTGAGAGTCTTGTCCTGGTACCTACAAAATCTTGACTGATAGCATTAAAAGTAAATTCTAAATTTTCATTCACCCAAAGAACTGTTAGATCTAGCAGCTAATAAACAGCATATATTTAGTACATTCAACAACTCAGACAAGGGCAAATATGATGGAGTGTATCTGAACAAGGTATCTTCATTTTTCCTTTAGATGGCTACTTGATTTCTCAGAATTACATGCAGCTACAGTTTGCTTTTTGCTTCTTTATTGCCCCTCATATTAATATTATATAGCATTACTTTGAAGGAGCTTTGGAATCAAGACCTACATTTGTCCTTTGAATGGCATGTCGCAGCTACTCTCCCCAAAGTGGGTGAACCTACATTTCATTTGAATTTAAAGTTCAGTTAAAATGTATCTCATTTTTCGCATATACTAATAGAATTACTATCCATGTGTTAATGACTTCTCCCTTATGTCATCTAAATAATTATAACTTGATAGTAACTTTTGAGCCATAGAAACCACATATCTGCCTGGAGTATAGAGGCATTGCTGATCGCCTTCCTCTGCCTCTTTCCCCAGGAAGGCTTATCAAAATACTGCTGTATCATATCAATGTGTTTTTAAGATATACATCAAATGGTTGACTTATGACCATTGGTTTAGTGTATGTAAAAAATTACAATGTTGGGATCGTTGATGTTCTCTGAGCTTGGTTGTTTTCTTAAAGACATTTCAATACACAAACTAGGTAACTGCTAGTCATCAATGGTGTTGAAAAAAGTGACTTACAAACTAGTCTTTGCACTTAATAACCATCACAACATTGCCACAGTCACATGATCAAAATTTGGACCCTTGGCAATCAGAATGTATTTATGACAATTGCAGCATCTCAGGTTTACCTAATCACCATTTGTGATCTTCCCGTCCAGCTTCTGATAAGCAGAGTCAATGGGGGAAGCCAGATTCACTTAAAGATTCACTTAACAATGATGATTCATTTAATAACTGAAGCAAAAGAGTCATAAAATTGGTAGTGCGGTTCACTTAACAACCAACTTGCTTAGTTCTGGCTCCAGTTGTGATTGTACGTTGAGGCCTACTTATATTGTGTGGGGGAAGAAAATTATTGAAAGCTTTCTTGTCACATGAAACATGAAGAAACACATCCCCATTGCTATTTCCATTAAACTACTTATTCCTTTGGATGACATTCTAAAAATGCCAGTAGTGGGTGGAATAAGGAATTTTCACTCAGCTGTAGACTTGGGTCTATTTATTCTATGTGTGATGACATCTCTTATGTGGACCCATTTCACTCAGGCTTTCAACCAGGAAATAGGATTAACACTGTTCAGTCGGCTGGTGAATGACTCGAACTTGAAATTGGGAAAAAAAAGTTGTCCTATTGATTCTCTTGAACATTTTTGAAGCTCAGTGCTATCTGTTTGGGAGATAACATAAGCAGAGCAATAAATACCTCTTCAGAAAATCAAATTCATATTCAATCTAGCAGATGTTTTGTCATTTTGATGCACCTGGATCGATTGCTTTATTGCAGACAAAAAAAAATAGCATACTCCTGCAGGCAGTCTGCATATTGCAGAACATAGAATTATATGCCTGAATTATGAATGACTGACAGGAGCCAGAGAGTAAATCCTAAGCATCTTCCTCTCACCTGGTTGTATCAGCTGTGTCTTACTTATTTTTCCCAGCCTTAAGTTTAGCAGGCAGCTGGCCTGAACAGTGTTGGTTCCTTCGTCACCACTGTCAACTCTTATACTGTCTCGCTCCCTATTTTATCCTTCCTATTTAAAGGTGCCAGATGACTCTTCCCCTCCCTCAGTTTGTGCGAGACTGAAGGGCATTATGCCTCCCTGTCTGTTTTCATATCTTTGCCAACTGGAAGCTGACAAAATCTTCAAAATCTGTACTCCTTCAGTCTGCCTAGGGATCTTAATAGTCCATATAAATTATATTTCTTCTTTGGCTGCAATGAGAGAGAATTTCCTATTTTGTCCCAATCTCCACTTCAACTTGACTCCTCATAGCAGAGCTTAGTTTCCATCTTATCTATTTTCTTCATCGGGAACTTCGTCCATTTCAAAACTCTTCCTTTTGAATGGGATAATCTTCATCTCTTATTAGTTAGTTGTACAGATGTCGCCTTTTTCATTCCCCAAACAGTTTATACTTCTCTCTTAAAGTCAGAACTGCAGATTATTGCCAAAGATAGATTAGGTCCCCAATGAGGTCATTTTGGTTGTGAAGGTATGTCAGAGAAAGTACAGAGCATAAATGTTGTCAGCCATATCCTATGGCATTTCTGTATCTGGGTAACTCTGCCAATGACTTGTGTTATTTCTAGGTCTGTTTTTTTTGCAGTGAAACTCTAAAATACAATCCATACCAATTCTTCTTCCCTCATCACATAACAAAAACTGAATGGAGGTTTAAAGATGCGCAAGGGAGGAGAGAATCTCGTGTGGCTGGAAACTGCAGAGTAATGTCTGTAGTATTGATCTATGCAAGTATGGCAAATGGTTCAATAAACTTGCATCTAGTTTCTTAGTATGTTGGGTGACAGAGAGAAATCTGATACAAAGCCAGATGTGACCTTCAGCAACAATGGAGGAGGGAAGGGAAATGCTTCCTGCTGCTATCTGTCAATATAATGCTTGCACAAGACCTAGTGTGATCCAGTTGATCCATGAAAAGGTGCTAAGAGACTCAGCATTCCTGGAAAAGAGGGGAGGCAAAATGGATATAGATGTACCGTAGATACTAGGTGGTAACCATAGGTGGCCTGAAATGGCAACATCTGAGTAGAGGCATTATTGGAGTTGTTATAAACGAACACTTAATAGATAAAATATCACATCGGTTGTTTTATACATAGTTTACATAGAGTTGGAGACTTGATCTTAGTGACATTTATCCACCATAAATAGCACATAAGCCCATAAGTGGTAGGTTAGTTATAAAGTGCAAGAGTCTACTTGGTTTCCTAACAAGAAACTTGTTTTTGCAAAAAGTAACATGGGTCTTGATATCTCTAGCAAAAGGCCACCAAAGGTCTCTGAGAAGTAGGGGTGGATAGTTTTAAATATTCTGAACTGTCCAGCTAACCATCATGGAAGAGCTGCAAGGCAAGGAAAGAAGAACCCATACTTCTCTCCATTCCCAAGAAAAGTGGGAGAAGAGAAGGATAAACCTACAGTCAATACTTCACAGCAGTTGTCTCATAGTCTTGATACAACTCAATATGTTGCTTTATTGAAGATAAGATTCCAGTTACACTTATACATGACTGACCTAAACTTTTTTCTTCCACCTTTTTGAGTTAATAGAGTCTTAGTTGTTCTTTTCCAAATTTTAGGACTGAAAGGCATCTGGTCCATGTTTTACATAAGCGGTCCAATTTATGGCTTGCCAGCTTTGACTCTTTTATTGTCTTGGTGTTCTTACAGACTAGCTTAGTCTTAGGGACTCAGTTGTTGCAGCCTTTCCAGAGATACAAGTTTATCCCTGGGTATTAAGACAATTATGGAACATATTGCTTGATTTGAAGCTACCAACAGCAGTCCCATTATTCCAAAATATGCAAGTGACATTTTTGAGGACCTGTTTTTAGAGGTGTAGGGTTTGCAGATAATTATATTTTACATTGGTTCCAAATTAGAGGAATGCCTTTTTATGCTAAGATTGCTTCCCAATTTATTAGTATAGCAGAATTTGATTAGATTTTAATTTATGTTTTAATATTGTTTTTATGTGAATGTTCTTGTATATTTTTTTAATTTGTTACCAATTCATGAACATCTGATATAACCTATTACTACATTTTGTTGCATGGGCAGTTATTTTGATAGAATTTTCATTTTTTGATATTTAATTTTTGTTTTATTATTGTAAGTCATACAAAGTCATCTGAGTTGAATGATTTATAATTGTTTATAAATAAACATTATTTCCAAATAAGAATTCCCAGATAATCTGGCAATGGTGTATATATATCCTATACAAGCCATCCCCAATTTGACACTCCTCAGATGCTTTGAATTATAACTTCCATGATGAACATGTTGACTGAAAATCCATATGTGGTCTTTGCTTCACTGTATAGTTGTTAAAGACTTTTGGAATATTTCTTTAGTATGTAATTTCTTTGAAAGAATACATGTTCTTTTCTAGTAGCCAGAAGTGAATTAATTTGTTGCCTGAAGTTCTTTTGTCCCAGTGAGTTTTCTGCTTTGCATGTACTTCTTTGTCTAGCTTTGTAGTTTTAATACACATGTAATTTGGATTGTGCAAGCTTATCCTGTCCTACCTACAATAGTTGGCACTGCATGCAAACATGCAAGAGCACAACATCTTAGCAGAAGATTAACTCATGTACATAGCTTGCCCTGCCAATGTGATAGGCTTTTTACTCTTTGTTGCAGGCAAGTTCTCCCAACAATGCCTCCATCTCAGTGTCAACCTGTTGCTGAGTCAGGCTAAAGTTGGATTAAGGTGAGCTGGCAAGAAATGCTGGTGTTTTCCACTGAAAATGGGATGTTCTATGTTGCAGGAAGGAAAAATGGAAGATGGTGACCTGCAAGGCTCCAGTTGATCTATTGCCAGTCCCCCCTTCTCCCCTTTGGCTTCAGGGCTCTATGTCTCCATGACCATCTGTGCTTTAGCTGATGGAAAGAATAGATGTTCATGTGGCAGCCAATATATTTTTTCAGTAGGGGGAATATCAAGGTCTTCCACAAGGTCAATAATATTCTTTGTGCATAAAAATAAATAAAGAGATCAGCTATCCTAATTGCAGCTGTGCATTAGCAAAACTCCCAATGACAGTTCCTAGAACCTCACTTCTCTTTGTCCTCATTCAAATGCTCCACTTCCTGTACAGTCCTCAAAGTCAACCCACTTTAGTGGTGGGATTCAATTTTTTTTACTACCCATTGTGTGTGTGGCTTGGTAGGCGTAGTGTGGCTTGGTGGGCATGGCAGGAGAAGGATACTCTAAAATCTCCATTCTCTCCCCACTCCAGGGAAAGTTTACTGCAAAATCCCCATTTCCTCCCAATCAGCTGGGACTCGGGGAGGCAGAGAATAGATGGGGGCCAATCAGAGGAGGTATTTACCAGTTCTCCGAATTACTCAAAATTTCTGCTACAAGTTCCCCAGAACTGGTCAGAACCTGCTGAATACCATCTCTGACTGACTTCCTTCCAGGCAATGTAAATTCCCACTTCTCAGGAAGGGGGCATTCACCTTAGCTGCTGCCAATCTTCCTACAGAAAAAAGAAGAAGCAGTAGCTGGATTGAATCTTTGAATTGATGGTAGTGGTGGGGCTTCTAGCAAGTACTCCGCAGAGGAATGAATTGGCTGTGACACTGCAAGGCAGGCCTACTGTGCTATAGCCAGTAGCCTTCCTACCATAGCTCTTGATAGGAAGTCTCTGCCAATCTAATCTCAGACATCTGGCTATAGGAATGCATGGGGACTGTGCTTTTCCATACTTATCTCTCATCACAAAAATGAGGGGACAGCACGCTGCTGGGCATGAGTGTGCTGTGTTGGGCTCCGTCTTTTGACCAGGCTGCTGTTCCAAGCTTCAAGTGAGTGGAATTATTTGAGCATAATTTTTGTGTGTGGAGGGATTGGTAATTGGTATCCCAGCTGAACTGCCCATAACTATTGCTTGTTTCTTGAATCAGAGCAAAAGCACCTGCTTCAATTGGACTCTGTTTGTTTGGCTTCTCTTTTCCTTGCCAGGAAGAATTGATAAAAAGCGAGTGGGAGGAAACTAAGAGCAAGAGTTTATATAAATACTTGTCTGGTTTTTTGTTTTGTAGAAACTTATTTAACTCCAATCTTTTGGATTTCAAAAGAAGACACAGTATGTTATGTGGAGCTTTTTCTTTTATTTCTGAACTGTAACGAAGTGCTCATGATCAAACATATGAAGGGCTTAACTTTAGTTTCTGAAACATGATGACACATTTGCTTTTTGCAACATAAGTACATTGGCAAATAGAGCATTTAAAATCTGGATGTCGTTGTAAGAGATGGAATGTTGCTGATACCTACATTTTTGTCCATATGCTCCCAACATATTGTGGCCTCGTTCCAATCAGTATATCCATATATTCTTGCAAGGTAATTCTATACAGTGCAGAACAGAACGTATTCCTTTAGGTAATAATACGCGTAGGATTTAACAGTCTGATAAACACACACACACAGACACACACAGACACACACAGACCCCTACTGAATGCTCATTAGGAGTTATTTCTAGGAAAGTATATTGTAAGATTGCAGTTGTATGCTGCAACTTCAGTCATACTGTCAAGTGGTCATAGAATTATTGATTTATTTCATAAAGCAAACAAGCCCTGGAATTTTTGAGGAAATAGATATTTCAGTATCACTCAGTTTCATAATTTCTACGGCCTTTAATTAGCACCTTCCTCATTTTGCTTTTGGAGAAGTAGATACAAACTGAACTTATCTATACACATATTTTGTAAAACCAATGTCATTTACTAAAACACTCATTTCACCCAGTCATGCCCAAATAATTAAGAAGGGATATGACATTTTAGAACTTATTTGCTGGTTGTAGGCTGTAATTATTTCCAGATTTTGTGAAATGATATCGCCATTGTTCTGCTAAGCCATATGTTTCTAGCTTGCTAAAAGATTGAAATGCCTGCAATCCATATAGTGATGTTTCTGATGTTGTGAAAACTGTAGGAGTTAATTTTTTGTCCCCTGGCTGTTTAGAGCTCTGCGCTACTGCAGAATAGAGGATGCATTTAAAATGACCTACACGAGCCCTGGAGTCATTTTGGATCCCATCCAGTAATACTTTGTTACTTCCTCCAAATTCTTAACTGCGCTTTCAATGATATCATGCATGGGGTTTTCAAGAAAGAATGGACCACTTTTTAAGTCTTGCTTTGAAAAAAAAACATCTAGGTTACACCCTTCATCACAAATTATGCAGTCCTGCAATCAAGGAGCTTTTAAAAACGCATTGCCTAGATATTGGAGCCAAGTTGAAAAAGACAACAGAAAAGGGAGAGGGGAAATATATCCATTAAATATTTCCATGTACTCCTCTCCATATCTTTCACAGAAAATACATGCCAGCAAAAAGGGAGAGATTTGGCTGTAGCCCATTAATTTAGTACCTGTTTTGCACAGATAGGCTTTTATCTCTTTGAATTATTACTTCTATTACTATCATCATCATCCTCTCCATCATCATCATCATCTTTTATGGCTTGGAAGTTTTAGGTATATTCATTATTGGCATAACTTTACTAAGATCATAAATTTTTGAAGAATTACTTTATTCTTTGCTTTCTTCTCTTCCCTGCCTTTTGATAACTGGGAAGTTAATTCATTTTCTGTTGGCTCAGCAGGTGAATAATACATCTCTGGTCATATTCTCATCTTCCCCTGCCATAAACCATGTCCTTTTTAACTCCATGTTTTAGAAGCTTTTCAGAAACCTATAAAGTATAGCATGCAGATAGTGTGAAACCCAAAGGAAAAGTTCCATAACTTATCTCCAGACAGTTAAATGCAGGTGCTTTATCACAATTTTGTGGAAAGGTGACTCATTGACCAGACTGTGTCCAGCTAAAGGGAGCATAAAAGACCTGCAAGATCTGAGATCTTGCTGTGTTGTATCCCTCTTAATTTGTACAGTAACTAGGAGCCAGTGTGAGTTGTTTTGTGGTTTGGTTTTTGTTCTCCTTGCTGATGTCTGCTTGCTGAGCATAAAGTCACAAGAGAAGGTGCTAAGGCTGCATCTGCCTCACTCCTCAAGGTACTAGGTAAAGTTTCTTTCCCGCCAACAGCTCAGTCTCATCCAGCATTCTTGCAAAAGGCCAAACTAGTTAGGAGTTCATGACCTAAATGAGCAAACAGGAGTGCTAAGGAAGAAAGCTTGGTGGGGAAGAAGAACAGTGGAAGAAATTCTAACTACCCATCTTCAGAGTTCAGCTACGGAGTCAAGAAGTCAGGGTTTCATGCTCTATAAAATTATGCCATAGGCACTATCTTTTCAATGTAACCATTCCTAAAGAAAAATAATACCATTGCCAACAACATGAGCATATAGAAAGCCTGCAGGTATGAAGGTGTCTTCCAGTTTATTGTAGAGGGTATGAAATGTATGATTCCTTGCCTTTTGAGTGTAAGTCAAATAATATTAATAACCTTAACATCCAAAGCCATAATCAACACTGATAGAATATCCACTTTTGCCCTCACTGTAGCAAGAATGGAGTTGGCATAAACTGAATTGGTATATTTAGTCCTACAATAATATGTAAGAGATATCCTATCATGTTTACAATTTAGAGTTGTAAATTATTTTAACTGCTAACTCTGTAGTCCAAGAATATTTTCTTTTTTTAGAATCCATCCCAAGAAAAGTTAGCCTGATTTTAACAATTGGATGCCTAAGTATTAGCCCCCTCCCAAATGATTCTAATTCTATAACTCCCTAATATGTATGTGTTGCATACTTTAGTTGAAATGTACAAGCATCATACTGTATATTTTGTTTTAATTTTTGCAGGATTTTAGATAATGGGCTGTGTGCAATGTAAGGATAAAGAAGCAACAAAACTAACCGATGAGAGGGATGGTAGTTTAAACCAGAGTTCGGGTTATCGCTATGGAACAGACCCTACCCCTCAGCATTACCCAAGTTTTGGTGTGACTTCAATTCCAAACTACAACAATTTCCCCACAGCTGGAGGACAAGGATTGACGGTCTTTGGTGGTGTCAATTCTTCATCACATACTGGTACATTGCGTACAAGAGGAGGAACAGGTGAATAATAATAACAACAAGAATTGTATCCATTCCCTTTCTAAAGCATGTTTATGTTCCTCAATAAGAAAAAATAATCCGTGTAGATTTCTTCTTTGGATCTCTTTGCCTTTATCTCAGACATACTTCTTGTACTTGATGAATTTATTATCAGAGTTCACCAGTGTATTAATTCAGATATGCACATACTTACTATTCATACTCCAGTGTCATTGTTTGCTCCTCTACTGGCAAAAGTCAGTCATATAGATGGTAGATATTATTTTCTCATCATGTATGTTCAATATACCAAGCCCAACCTTCTTATGGAATCAGTACTTATACAAGTTTTGAAAATATATTTTCTTCTAGATTTAAGGTTTAATTTTCTATAACTTCTTAGCAGCATAATAGCTTAAAGGATAATAGATAATAACATTTGAAATTCATTATGTTTGTTGCTGATGCCAGCCATGAATTTAATATTTGATCCTAAATAAATAATCATTGTATGTATTAACCCAGCACACTAAGTTGCAGTGTGATACCAGCATCTATAACACACTAGCCATTAACCATGATTTACAAATCAGTGGCTATTCACCTGCAACATACTATGCCAAAGCCAAACAAACTATATTATTATTTTGTATGGTGTATGATCCTATTCCCATAGATATCCAGAATAAAGAGATGGTGTTTTTTTCTTAGGTTTATGCTCCATGGCCATCTAATGATGATGTTGTGAGCTTATGATGCTTGTAAGCTCATTATTAAGTTGCATTTTTGGAAACAAATATAGTGCTGGAAGTTGTCAGTTTAATTTGCAATATGCCAGGATATGATTTATTAATTCAAATTTATATTCATCTTGAATATGCAAAGAAAAATGGGTGAGGGAAAGAACCTCATAGAATTAATAGTAATAAACATGATTAATTCACTAAATAAACGAAGAGCCTGACCCAGCACCAAAACAAGTATCCACTGGCATATTGGTGCATTGCAAACCACATTAGAATCTGCAGTCCTGCTGGACAACATTAGTCAAAGAGAATACACACAAAGCAGTTTAGAAAAAGATGGCATTAGAATTTATATAGTGCATATATAACCAAATGTTTTGGGTTTCCTATGCAAAGTGCTGTATGAAAAATAAAATGAGAGGTTCAAATTTATCCTTTCCTCCTTCCATTATGAAAACAAATATGAAATAATGAATTTGTTTAAAAAACACTGCAATTTGTAAAAGTTGCATTCACTTTCATTATCTTTCCATAGGTGTAACTCTTTTTGTAGCTCTATATGATTACGAAGCAAGAACAGAAGATGATTTAAGTTTTCATAAAGGAGAAAAATTCCAGATACTTAACAATTCGTAAGTTTCATTTACTATATGACTTACTTTTTAATGCCTAGATGGCTTGTTCCCTTGATAGCAATGATATATTAAATTCTATTTTGTGATATTAAGAGATATTTCATATCACACAGGACATTTAGATTATCGATTATATAAAGTAATAAAAGATGAGAGAAAATAGTTACTTGTTAATTATGTAAAGAGCTGGAGCTATTGCTACTATTACTTTGATGAGTAACAGTATTCACTATTTATCAGTGAATATCTGAGTAGAAATCTTATAAATAAATAAAACCAGTAATATTGTAGATGTATCGTGATGCAAACTCCACGCCTCAAGTAGATTTTATGATCTAATGTTTTGTTGTTTTGATGTTATTGTAGTTAGTTATGGACATCTAGAGGGATGTGCTCAGTGGCTAAGACACTAAGCTTGTCGATTAGAAAGATCAGCAGTTTGGCAGTTCGAATCCCTAGCGCCGCGTAACAGAGTGAGCTCCCGTTACTTGTCCCAGCTTCTGCCAACCTAGCAGTTCTAAAGCATGTAAAAATGCCAAGTAGAAAAATAGGAACCACCTTTGGTGGGAAGATAACAGTGTTTAGTCATGCCAGCCACATGACCACAGAGATGTCTTCGGACAGCGCTGGCTCTTTGGCTTTGAAGCGGAGATGAGCACTGCCCCCTAGAGTCAGGAATGACTAGCACATACGTGCGAGGGGAACCTATACCTATGGACATCTATGAAGAGGAATCATCTGGACTCTTCCATCTTTTAGCTGGCCTTTACTGGCTAGGATTAATATTTTAATCCTAGATTGGAAATTAAAATAAATGTAGGAACACTGAAAACAAAGCCTTCAAGAATTTCTAAAAATGCTGGGTTTGTTTTAAAACATTTTTTTTAAAAACCTACAATGTTAAAATATTTTCTAAATACATAATGTGTTTCTTCTCATGTATATAATGGCAATTCCATCCTTGAAATATTAATAAAGATTCTGTAAGTCAATACAGTATTTTTCCAAAGATAACAGGCAGATTATAAAACTGAACTAAAAAACAAGGGGATTTGTGGAATATTCCATGATTCCTTATGCTTAAACTTCTTTGCTGGTTGTGTCAGCATAGATGGTTGAACTAAAACTTACTTTAAGAATAGCATCATTTTCATAATCATATTTTGATTAAACTTTGATTTATTGTCTGCTTTTCTTGATGCCATAAAATGGTCCTGATGAAGAAAAAGATAACATACTTGAATAATAAGCTATTTTATTACAGTTTTCTAAATCTGCAGTAGGGCTATCCAGGTGTACATAACAGTACATCGTATATAATTAATATTACTTTTTATTGGGGATATTAAAGTTTACATATTTTTGCTGGCAAAAATGCCCAAAGGATGCCTAATCGTTTTTCCCCATGTTGTGATGGATATTTTTTTTAATTCAGTTTCTTTTTTAAAGTTCAACCTTAAACGTTTTCAGTCTTTTGTCAGTCATTTCAGAGTGCAGTCATTTGAAAATCAGTGAAATTACAAAAGCACGCATATTTTCAAGAGAGCTATGGAATCCACCCACACTGATACATTCTTTTAACATGGAAGCAAACTGTACAAGCACAGCAATACCAGTTAATGCTTGCTTTCTCTGTTTTCTGAATGAATGTCTGTTATAACATGGCACAAACCGCAGTGTGACATGGCTGTTATAAAAGATCTCCCTCTAGTGGAATTTCTAGGCAGTAGTACCAAAAGAAAAATACATTCCATTGTCTGTTTCTTTAATTATGAATGCTCAAAAAGGATGGATTCTTTTACTGATCCGGGACCAAGGTAGGCATATTATGATGGCTATCTTTAAACTGATGTTGTGTTTTTCTAACTCTTGCTTTGCAGGGAAGGAGATTGGTGGGAAGCCCGATCCCTGACTACCGGAGAAACTGGTTATATTCCCAGTAATTATGTGGCTCCAGTTGACTCCATCCAAGCAGAAGAGTATGTATTTTTTTTTAAAAGGATTGTTTTGGACAGAGAACAGTTAAAACTGTGGTGACTTACAAGGAATTACCCATTACATTAGCTTCCTTTTTTAGCTAAATACTTGGGTAATTAAAAGAAAGATGAGAGGGGAGGGGAGGGAACTGAGTTAGCTTTTACCAGATCAGAGTAGAAATATCCAGAATCTTCTGGTCTTTAAATATATCCTTGATAGTGGAGTGGATTTAACTTTAAGCACACTGAGATCGTGAAGGTTTTATTCTAGTTAACTGAGCTAAATTCATAATAAAGGCAGCTGGAACAGCATTTATTATTTCAGTTTTAAATATCAAAACTAAAGGAAATATTGAAGCTTTTCTAAAAGCAGTATTTGAATAAACATGAACTCCTAGCTCCACAATGCTATCTATAACTTATCAGAAATACTTCTTTGCATTGGATTGTGAAGGCACAAGAAAAACTTGAATGAGCTTCACAGATGGTCCTTACGCAAGCTTAAGTGTTTTAAATCCTTAAAAAGCAATTCCAGTTTGAAAACTTTTGTTTCTGGCATGTTTGTTCAGGTGGTACTTTGGGAAACTTGGGCGAAAAGATGCTGAGAGGCAGCTGCTATCCTTTGGAAATCCACGAGGAACCTTCTTGATTCGTGAAAGTGAAACCACCAAAGGTAAATAATTCCTGTGTTTTAATTAAGAAGCAGAGGGAAAGCATCAGTGAAGGTAATGAGACATGCTCAAATGAAACAAAAAATACTACAAGCAAATTCATTTTTTCATAATAATTTAAATTCAGCAGAACTTATTAGATAAACATCACATTCAGTTTAGTGATTTAAATTTAAATTCAGCAGAACCTATTAGATAAACATCATATTGCATTTATAAAATCTGTGCTGGGTGTGATTGTGTTTTAAGTAAAGAAAAATAGCATCTAATTTATGAGCTGACTTTTCAGAAGGGCTTATTTTTTAAATTCTTCTCTAAAAATCAAAAGTAGCAAACAATAGTAAAGAGATCTAATTCTGAATATAGTAAAGAAGGAAGAATTATAAAAGAACCTCTAAAATCAGGGCTGTCAAACTCCTGGCCTGTGGGCCCATGCCAGGTTTAGTGAAGGGGGGAAAAGTCCCAATACGTCACATGATGACGCCGTGACAACATGAGTTTGACACCCCTGCTCTAAATTCTTAAGCAGTTCTGTTAATGCTGTGCCTTTAAAAATCTGTCCTTTATTGCTTTCCTTAATTTCAAAAAAATTAAGGAAAGCAATAAAGGTTCGCCTGGTGCACCAGTTGTGTCCCTACCTGAACCGGGAGGCCCTCACAACAGTCACTCGTGCCCTTGTGACCTCTAGGCTGGAATACTGCAATGTGCTCTACATGGGGCTGCCCTTGAAGAGCATTTGGCGACTTCAGCTAGTCCAGAATGTGGCCGCGCGAGCGATCGTGGGTGCTCCTCGCTTCACCCACGTAACACCTATCCTCCACGAGCTGCACTGGCTGCCTGTTGATCTCCGGGTGCGCTTCAAGGTGCTACTTATCACCTACAAAGCCCTTCATGGTAGTGGACCTGGGTACTTGAGAGACCGCCTACTGCCAATTACCTCCACTAGACCGATACGATCGTATCGATTAGGCCTCCTCCGAATTCCATCATCCAGCCAGTGCAGACTGGCAACTACCCGGAGGAGAGCCTTCTCGGTGGCTGCTCTGACCCTCTGGAACGAACTCCCCGTGGAGATTCGGACCCTCACCACCCTCCAGTCCTACCGCGCCGCTTTAAAGATCTGGCTGTCCCAGCTGGCCTGGGGTTAAGATTCTAACACCACCCGAATTGTGTGACTGTTGTGTTTTCTTTTTAATATGTTGTATTGTCTTCATGTTGGAAAATTGTTTGTCCTTTCCCCCCCCCCTTTTTTTTTAAATTGTGAGCCGCCCTGAGTCCCCCCAGGGAAAAGGGCGGCATACAAATAAAGGGAAATGAAATGAAAATGAAAATTATACGGGATACTCCATTTTTATAGTAACATGCTACTTAAATAATTTAAATTATTTTTGGTTAGAATATTCTATTTATTTATTTATTTATTTATTTATTTATTTATTTATTTATTTACATGCAGCTGTTAACTTTTCTTGTTATAGGTGCCTATTCATTGTCCATTCGTGATTGGGATGATATGAAAGGGGATCATGTCAAACATTATAAAATCCGCAAGCTTGACAGTGGAGGATATTACATTACAACCAGAGCACAGTTCGAAACTCTTCAACAACTTGTTCAGCATTATTCAGGTAACCTTGAACATTCAGTTCTTAAAATAAATTCAGCTTCTTAAAATAAAAATACTACTGATATAATGCCTTTCTATTATCTTTTGTTAAATATAAAATGTTAACGAAATTAGAGTCTTCTTTTGTCATTTTAGTCTTTAGTTTGGAGTTAAATACTTCAGATGAATCTCTCATATTATCTGAACACATAAAGACTCACCATTTTAAAATACAATTTTCATTATATAAATCTCAGATTTATTTGTAAATCTCAGAAACTTAATAAGTTTCGTTAGTACCTTTTTGATGCCTGCATGGGTTTTCAATACAAATCACTTTATCTGAAAAGGGCATTTGAGATAAGCTATTAACATAAATACAATACAAAGGGCTCAGTGGCTAAGACACTGAGCTTGTCAATCAGAAGGTCAGCAGTTCAGCGGTTCAAATCCCTAGCGCCGGGTAACGGAGTGAGCTCCCGTTACTTGTCCCAGCTTCTGCCAACCTACCAGTTCAAAAGCATGTAAAAAATGCAAGTAGAAAAATAGGGACCACCTTTGGTGGCAAGGTAACAGTATTCCGTGCACCTTCAGTGTTTAGTCATGCTGGCCACATGACCACAGAAACTTTGGACAGCGCTGGCTCTTCAGCTTTGAAACGGAGATGAGCACTGCCTCCTAGAGTCGAGAACAACTAGAACCTATGTGTGAGGGGAACTTTTACCTTGAATTAATATAATGCAAACATTGGTTTCTTAATATTGGATTTCCCAAAATTCACCATTGCTTTAATGTTAACATCTTAAACTAAATTTTAGAACTCTGGCAGCTTGGAGGCATAGTCATGAAACTAAAAAAAAAGGTGAATGAGTTCTTTTTATTGAGATTTTAAATATCCCTGTGGCTTCCCTTCTACTTCCTATATAATTAATTTGTCTCCCCTCCATTCCAAAATTCAGGCACACAATTTTAGTCTTTCTTGGAAAATAGAAATCCTTTTTCCTAGAAAAGATACATTCTGATATTTTAAAGGATACATACTTTTTATCCATAGTTTTAACTCTAATCAGAGTCATCTTAGTTATGGTTATATTGACTTTAATGATGCTTGAAATTGTGGGTCTTTTTGTTGTAACTCAGGGCACTTAAAAAGAGAGATCTCCATCCACCTATCATCAGAATACCTTACATGGACTAATCACTTGCTTAGTTCTTGAATTTCATGTAGTTGTTCCCATATTTCTGTTGACAAATTATACAGATAAAGGCTGTTCCCTCATTCTCTGCAATGCTGGGATTGAAGCTGACAGTAAACAAATCAGGATCATATATAAGAAATTGTTCTTGTCAGCTCATGCCACCTTAAGTAAGTGACAGAACATTCTTCCTTCCTTCCAATGACCCTCATCATCACTTCATTATGCTTGTATATTCTTATTGAGTACATCTTGTACAATTTAGTACAAGCATTCCACAAATATTATATTTCCCTTTTTCCTCTATTTGACAGCTAATGCTATAAACAGTGCTGGAAATAGAAAGCCTTTAGTTCATCCTCATTGCTTGATATGGCTAAGATCCAACCACACTTAGTCCTATATTTATGAAAGGATGGTTTTGTTGTTTTGTTGCTGAGGTTTTGTGTGTTTGTGTTTGAGTAACTGTTGTCTCATGACAACAGCCTAGACTAGTCTTTGCAGTTGTCTTGGCAATGTTTTTTGGAAGTCATTTGCTGCTGCCTTCTTCCTTGAGTTAAGAGGAAGTGATTGACCAATTTCCCCAACAGGACTACAATTCATAGTCTCTTGGTTTTAGCCTGGTTCCTTAACAGTGGTGGGTTGCAGGCAGTACACTCCAGTACGGGCACTCTGGAGCTTGCCCAGAGCACCGGGTACCATTCCAGTATGGTGCTCCAGAGGGCCCACCTGCCACCCGAGCTCTTTACCTGTCCTTTAAAGCCTTTGGCGCTTATGCGCATGGCGCATACAGTGCCTACACGATGCTCCGCCAAGCAGCTGGAGCATCGCAGAGGCTTGCAGAAGCATCACTGGAAGGTACAATGCATGTGTGCAGCACCACTGTTCCTTAACCACTGTACCAAAATGGCTCTAAAGATTGTACATAGTACATTAAAATTACAGAGCTGACTGTCAGAATTGTTTTTATGTTAAAAAACAACCCCACATTCCTAGAAACTTAATTTTTTCCTTCATCTAATTAACAAATATTGATACTAATTGGTGTTACGTGTAAACAAATTATAAAACTACAGACTTAATTCTTTTAGACAATTGTGAATCATAATAATGGTGAAATAATACATGTGTTTAATATTTTAAAGATGCTTATTTTTGGAACATTAGAATTAATGGTAAATTTGATAGCAGGTGGCAAAAATTATACTTCCTGTATCTTGAGCAGTAATCCATAGCACTGAGGGATATCCAGTTTCTTGCAAGTAGGCTTCTTTTCATTTAACAATATTGCTCCTTCCCCTGAAAGTTTCTAATTGCCCTCTCCCAATTAAACGGTTTCTAAACACTTCTGAGAACACATAGCATGCTAGGGAAAGAAAATCTTTTCCTCCTCATTTCATTTAATGTAGGTGGTATTAATTGGCTAATTACTATCTACTCTGATTCACTGTTGCAAAATAAGTAAAAATGCATGTCTCTAGGACAATTCGTTTTTTAGAAATAGCCTTCTCCTGTCTTAGAATGGTTGTGTGTTACTATGTGCATGCATACAATATTCTGTGCAAAGTTCTTAACATTCCAGACACTTAGAAATATATTTATTTATCCTAAGATGACTTTACAAGAATGTTCAATATTTAAACTGTTTTCTAAATTGTTTTAGAAGTTAATCAGTTTAGCAATGTTTTTGAACTGTTTTATCTTTTTAGTAACATTATGCAATATTCATTCTCCTATATCAGGCACTTTTAAAAATGCTTCTCTTTTTGCTCACCCAAGGATGCATGCTAACTAGAATATATTTATACATTTATGTTTCATCTATTGTTTAATACATTAATTAATTAATACTGCATGAAGCTCTTAGATGTTGTCTCCTTGTTCTCTATTGCATCAAAGAAAGCTCTTTTGCTTCCGTGTATTCTGTCCACTTGCATCTTTCTACTTCTAATAATTTGTTTCTTTTTTTAATCTCATTTATTCTATTGCTATAATATTGCAGAATTCCATGGCATAGTTTTGTCACTAGTAGGACAAATTCCTACTTAAAAAGTATATGCTTCTTCAGGTATCCCCCTGAATCAATTGTTATCAATCTGGTACCATGCATTTGTTCAGATAGCAACATCTGTAATTTCCTAGCAGTATTTCTAGAGGATATCAGAATCCAGAATGTCAGTCTAAAGATTTGCCTGGAAGTTTTATAGGAGACAGTCCTTAAAATTAATGATGGGGCTGTTGAAGGTATTTGGTCAATGGGCAATTATATCATCAGCTACACTTGCAAGAGCCAATGATATTTTACCAACTCTGTATTTGCATTATGCCATTCCAGCTGTTTTTACAAAAGAAGTAGAGTGTCCTTTTTAGACAATAAAGTCTTAGTGTCAACCATTGATTGCTTTCTGCTTCATCTCACAAGCCACCTTGGTAAATCACCATCAGCTTTCCTTTCACCTGCCCTCTTAAACTTCTTCATATAACATGGAAAAAACAAAGAGAGAGAGAGAGGGAAAGACAGAGAGACTGAGATTGACTTGACCAAGAGATTGTTTTGTTCCCATTGAAACATTCTGACAACAGTAATGAATAAAAACATTTTAGGATAATAGTGTTAAAAGTTCATAGTCGGTCCAAGATGATTTGAGCATACTCAGACCTATGTTATGGCTCTATTTCTGTCAGCTTTCTTCTGCTTTTAGCATTCATTAATCTCAGGCTAGGTGTGATAGAAATGCTTCTGTCCTTCAAGAGTCAGATGATAGTTTATTTGCTACCAACTTTTTATGTAAACCAACTTTTTATGTAAAAATTGAATGCTACCAACTTTTTATGTAAACCACACTGAAAAATGAGTGATCAGAATAAATATATTGGAAATAGATATGCAAACTATTTGCATCTAAGACTCCCTTCAAGGGATTTCCTATGCTTGCATTGGTTTTTATACCCATGTGACCAAACTCCATCCTTCATTTTTGTATAGTACCTACTTAGCAACATTTAACATCTATAGTATGTATAGTAATGTGAAAAAGTATGCCCTATTGATTTTTTTCCTTTTTAATATATTTCAACATATAGGTGTTTGATCTTCATTTCAATAATATTGATAGAGGAAGGGGATATAACAAATACATCGATTATTTACATTTTGTACTCCATTATATAATTTAAATAAGTTCAGTTCAGTTCAGTTCAGTTTATTGTATTTATATGCCGCCCTTTTCCCCCGAAGGGGACTCAGGGCAGCTCACAACTCAAACCAGGGAAGGGGGATACAGACAAAAAGTTTAAAAAACAAAGCATAGCAATGCATAATTTAAAACACAACAGTCATACCATTCGAGACGGGGGCAACAGCTCTTTAGCCCCAGGCCTGTTGGAACAGCCAGGTTTTAAGGGCTGTGCGGAAGTCTTGGAGGGTGGTGAGGGTTCGAATCTCCACAGGGAGTTCATTCCAGAGGGTCGGAGCAGCCACAGAGAAGGCTCTCCTCCGGGTAGTGGCCAATCGAC